TTTATTTTATTTTATTTTATTTTATTTTATTTTATTTTATTTTATTTGAGACATAGTCTCACTCTGTTGCCCAGGCTGGAGTGCAGTGTGGGGTCTCAGCTCACTCCAGCCTCGACCTCCCAGACTCAAGTGATTCTCCTGCCTCAGCCTCCCAAGTAGCTGGGACTACAGGCATGCACTACCATGTCCAGCTATTTTTTTTCTGTAGTTTTTGTAGAGATTGGGGTCTCACTATGTTGCCCAGGCTGGTCTTGAACTCCTGGCCTCTAGCAATCTGCCCACATCAGCCTCCTAATGTGCTGGGGTTGCAGTCATGAGCCACTGGGACTGGTTCACGTCAATATTTCTTACAAACGTAGATTAAAAAACAAACAAAATACCAGCTCTTCAAATTTAAAGATATATAAAAAGGTAATATATCATGATCAAGTGGTATTCATTCCAAGAATGCAAAGGTGGCTTAACATTTAAAAATCAATCATTATGATCCACCACAATAAAATAAAAATCTCATGACCTACAGGAAGAACATTTGGTAAAAGTCAACTCCTTGTCATGATTGGCAACCAGAAATATATTAATAAGACAACTTTCATAATATGCTAGTCTATCTACCAAAATTTCCCAAAGCTAACCAATGATCAAATATTGAATGGTTTCTTCCCAAGGTCACAGGAATGAGACAAGAACTACTATCACCATCTGTATTCAATATTGGCAAGTGCAATAAGGAAGTAAATGAAATGAAACACTTCAGGATTGGAAACAAAGAAATAAAACCAACATCATAACATGATTATATACTTAGAAAACCACAAAGAATCTACACAGTATGAAAATTTATACGTGAAGCAATTAAGGTGCTGGTTAATACAACGTCAATGTACAAAATCAATTGTATTTCTACATGCTAGCAACAAAAAAGACAAACAAACCAATTTTTAAAATGGGTCAAAGAACTCAAATAAACATTTCTCCAAAGAAGGTATACAAATGGCCAAAAGCACATTGAAAGATGTTTAACATCATGATTCAATAGCAAAATACAAATCAAAACCACAATGAAATACCACTTCACAACTACTAGGTAGGTCAGCTACAATAAAACTTTAGGTTATGTATCTTCACCATGACAACAAAAGACATTTTTAAGCTATACTAAATGCAAAGATAGACAAACTGACCAAAGGTTCAAAGATAGATGTATACATGTATGATCCTTTTCAATGAAGAAACTTCTTTTCAGTAACTAGTGCTGGGTAAATTTTATATCCATATGGAAAAAAAATTCTGGACTTCTACCTTACATTGTATGAAAAAATCAGTTCCAGAGGGATTGCACATCTTATGTAAAAGGCAAAACAATAAAGATCTTGAACAACAAGGAGAACATCTTCATGAACTTGGAGTAGGCAAAGATTTTTTAAATAGAATACAAGAACCACTAAACACAAAGGAAATGTTTGATAAAATGTACTATATTAAGTTTAAGAATGTCTATTCATCAAAAGACATCATACGAGGATGAAAAAGTCAAACCACAGAATTAGAGATGATATTTTCCATACACACATCTGACAAAGAACTCATAATCTAGATGATTCAAAAACAAAACAAAAAAACTCCCTTTCAATAAGAATAAAACCACACAGACAAAAGATTTGAAGAGCTGATTCCCACAAAAGGATATACCAATGGCCAAGAAACATAGGAAAAGGCAATCAACTTCATTGGTTATCAGGGAATTGCAAATTAAACCCCAATGAGACAGTTGTATTTTATGTTAGGAAAAGAGCTAAAATGAAGACACAAACCAAGATGGAGAGCACATGGAAGTGGAAACTGGTACAACCACTATGGAAAACTGGCAGCATCTGTTAAAGCTGGAAATTTTCACACCTATGACCCAGGAATTCCTCCCTAAGTACATACCTGACAGAGATGTGTACATATGTACCATGAAGACCATATGCAAGAATCTTTGTAGCATCCTATTTGTAATACCTTCAAACTGGTAACTACCCCAATTCCTTTAACGGTAGAATGAATAAACGAACTGCAGGTCATCCACTTCTGCAGCAATGAGAATAAACTCACTACGACTACATGCAACCACAAAGATAATGTTGAGGGAGAAAATCTGCAAAACACTGTATGATTCCATTTATGTAAGATGAATACATATAAAGGGGATATATATACATATATCAGGCAAAACCATTTGATGCTGTTAGAAGTCCCATCATTCTTGGTGAGTGTAGTGACTAGAAGAGGCTCAAGGGGCTCCTGGAGTTTTTCTCTTTCTGGTGGTGATGACAGTGGTGTGTTCAGTTTGTGAAATTCATTGAGCTACACATCTATGATTTGTGTACTTTATGTATGTATGAAATATACATTACTTTAATAAAATTTTCCCAAAAAAACTTATTTTGGCAAATGGACAAGTTAAAGAAATGTATTAAGTGAATAGTAGTTTAGGTTTTACAGATATGCGTGAGGTGAATGAATGACCAATCTTTGGAGAATATGCATGATTAGCTAGGCTTCATTCCACACATCTTCCTTAGTGGAACCCTGTTCCACTTTTCACCACCTTCATCCTCAGGCCTACCCACCCAGGCCCCTTTTCTGTTACAGCTCAGTTGGACAGCCCCTTCGGCAGGGACTCCCCTTGCTCCTTTTGTGGCTCCTGGCTCAGAGGAATAAGCCTAATTTGTAGACTGAAAGCCATTTGAGAGATGTGGCATCTTTCTCATGAACAAGTGTGACTTTACCAAGGTGACTTGACCAAGGACATAGAACTGGTTAGTTACTGGAATATGCTCAAATATATCTCAAACATCTTGACACCCAACATTCCATGCCGGTTTGGAAGGTTTCAAAAGGGAATCCCCTAATTCTACAATCCATATCCAGCTCACCCGCTGTGGCACTGAATATTCTGACATTAGGGATCCACTGGGTCGTGTGTACATGTTTCATCTGATCTCTCTTACAGTGGCAGTCTCTCCTCAGTGGCCTGCCACCCACAGAACCACAGAGGGGATTGGTGTAGAGCAGACCAGGTGCCATGAACTGCCCCGTCTTGAACCAGGGCTGGCTTCTCTGAGACCAGCGATCTCTGTCTAATTGCTGCTTTATTCCTTCCCCAGCTCCTTCCAACCCTCCTGCTACCATGAAGATTGCAGTGATTGGACAGAGCCTGTTTGGTCAGGAAGTTTACGGTCACCTGAGGAAGGAGGGCCATGAAGTGGTGGGTGTGTTCACTGTTCCAGACAAGGATGGGAAGGCCGACCCCCTGGGTGAGTGAGCCGACGGAGCAGGGAAGCCGATGGAGGGCAGCCTGCCCGTCCAGGCAGAGGGGAAGCAGTGGGTGGGAGGTTGGGAGCAGAAGTCTGCAGGGCCTGTGCTCTGGCTGGGTAAGTGGTCTACCTTGAATCCTGCTCCAGTGCCAACAGGCTGCTGGGCTTTTCTGGAATAAAGTGAAGATGCCCTCCCCACCTGATCATGGGGTGGCTTTAGGGTCCTGGAGAAGGGCTGTAGAGAAGCCCAGCCTGGTCCCAGGTCCCACACAGAGCTTCTCTGACCCAGCACCCATGCTTGGGAAGGGTTCCATGTTCTGAACTGGGGGTCCATGTTCTGAAAGGTGGGCATGCGCGGCATCACCATTGCTGGGGCTGCCGTCAAAACACACAGTGCTCTGCTTACCTGGCGGAGGACAGACCATGATCACAAAGGCGGTTTTCCCAGGGTGAGGCTTCTCCATTGTACTCTGGATGTGCTGATCCCTGCAATTTCCCCAAATGTGGGAAACTTGACTGCGTGATGTGTGGTAATGGGGAACTGCATTTGCACTCTCCCCTGGCATTTTGATTTTTTTAAAGAAATTTTTTAAACAAAAGAACAAAACCACAGAGAGTACTGAGCCCACCCTGGGAGTTTCTGATTCAGAATGAGGTGGAAAAGTCAGAATTAGGTGAAATTTTTAACCTGGGACAAGTTCCTGGGAGATACTGGTGTCTCTGGTATTAGCAGAAGCACAGTTTGAGAATCACGGGTCTGGGCCACTGCCTTTGAGCTGGGAACCTCAGCAGACAGGATGCAGGGGCCTCAGCTTGGATGAACAGACCCTCTAGGAACACTGACTGGTCCTTCTCAGGCCTGATGGAGACAGACTGTGGGGCAGGGCTTAAGGATAGAAGGCCAGGATTAGGAAAGGGGGCTTGTAGGCCTGGCCAGGCACAGAGGTGTGGTTTCTTAAGGAACAGCCAGCCTCCCTCAATGGGGAAGTTGCAGCCTGGCCCTAAAATCAGCTCCAACACCCAACACTCGATGCCAGCCAGGGTTCAGTCTTGGACCTGACCACCGGTGACCCATGACACACCCTGACCCCACCACAGCCTGGACCTTACACCCAGCCACTAAGTGACCACTGATCCCAGCTGCTGACCCTGGACCCAGACCAGACCTGGCTGGGACTCCTACTTGACCTTGATCTCAGATGTCCTGCAGCAGTATTTCATTAGTCACTGTTGGACAGCTTTTGCAAGTGCAGTCCAATCTGCTGACATCACATCCCACCCTCTCTCAAAACCACCAGACACCAGGACAGAGTGACAGAGGAGGCCGGAGAGGAGGGCCAGTCCCATCAGGGCCCAAACATCACACCAGAGGCTCTAACAGAGAACTGAATACAAAGAAGTGTTCCTTGGGTATTGAAGAGTGGAAGGCAGAGAGCCCGAAGTTATCAGGGACAGTGACTGCAGGAAGCAGCTGCCCACTCTAAGGCTAAGAGAAAGGAGGAAGCTTTAACTACAAAAACTTGGGAGCTTGGGCCTGTAATTCAGGCCTGTGAGGAGGGTGTGCTGGTGATGGGGCAGAGGAGGGGCCCTCCAGGCTGTATCTGGGCCCGGGGTGGGGTGTGGGGTGTGTGCATACTGAGGCTAGTTCTACAGATGATGGAAAAACTGATTTAGCCATTGCTCTGGGAAGGAACAACTGTGGCTGGGATGAAGAAGCTGGGCTGGGGGAGGCTCACCGGACAGGAACCCACTGAACAGAAAGGAGTGAGGATGCCCTTGTTATCCTTCTTCCCCTTATTCCTTCATCAGGGAACAGCTGACAAAGCAGAAATGCCATCTGCAGGGGGGCAGTCCCCATCACAGAGAGAGCAGTAGAGGGGACCATAAGACAGTAACTCAGTGATGGGGATGACAAGGCCTCAGGAGAGGAGCGAGGGCAGAGGTCAGCCAGCTGGGGTCTGGAAGAGGGAGGCACTCAGAGGTCCTGGAGTTCAGCAGAAGTCAGAGCAGGCAGGGCGGTCCCCAGAGCCTCATGCTTGGCTGGTGCGTCTGTCTGTGTTGCCCAGTGGAGACTGGCTGGGGGTGAGGGGTGGCATGGAGAGAAGGCCCATGGGCTGCTCTGCTGGGAAGGCAGAGTTGGCCACATGTGGGTGGGTGATAGAGAGGGTCCAGTTTCTTATCCACCATCCCACAGGTCTGGAAGCCGAGAAGGATGGAGTGCCGGTATTCAAATTCTCCCGGTGGCGCGCAAAAGGACAGGCTTTGCCTGAAGTGGTGGCAAAATACCAGGCTTTGGGGGCCGAGCTCAACGTCCTGCCCTTCTGCAGCCAGTTCATCCCCATGGAGATAATCAATGCCCCCCGGCATGGCTCCATCATCTATCACCCATCACTGCTCCCTAGACACCGAGGGGCCTCGGCCATCAACTGGTGAGATGGGGCAAAAACACGTGGGGCCATCCCTATACATGTCCCTCCATCAGTCTGACTTGTCTCTTTCCATTAGCCCAAAGCATTTTTAGGGATGCAGAGAGGGCATCGTGCAGGTGCTTGTCCTGTGGTTGCCAGCTGTCAGTCACAGAACAGGCTGTGCAACGTTATCAATGACAGAAGGCTCTGGGAGCAGGTGTTGCTGAGCACTCTGCACTCCCACAGTTATCTGAGAAACTGGCACTGTCAGTGTTCCCATCCCCCAGCTGGGACAGAGAGGGCACCAGGAGGCACAGGGTCCAAGGCGCCAGCCCAGGCAGTGGACTGGGGGTCCTACTCTAACTTCCACTACCGCTGCTCTGGGCAGCACACTATGTAGAAAGAGATAAACGTGGAGCAAAGGAGGGCCTCCCCAAGGTAGTCAGACGTGACAGAATTCCCAAGAAGACAACAAAGGGGGTGACAAGGCAGATGGGTGGTCAAAGAGGGAAAACATTTCAGTTGAGAAAAGAGTGGATTCATAGTCAGACTGGTCTGTTGGGAGTCAGGCTCTTTGATCTTTGTTGGTGTGACTTCACTTTTCTGGACCTTAGTTTCCCTATCTGTAAACCGAGTATACCTGTTATCCCTGCTGTGAGGACTCAGTTACATAAGGCATATAGGGCTTTTAGCACAATTCCTGGCCCATAGTTCTTATCAATACATGCTGTTTTCCTTCTTCTGTTTCCCGCCGGAGCCGGTGTCAGTGCTACCCCTGGGAAGAGAGGGCCTCCTGGAGGGTGGCAGGCCCACGGGCCTGCACCCAGGGCGTCCTCCATGGCCCTTTGTCGCAGACTCCGAGTTTCACTCTTCTGCTTCCTAGGACCCTCATTCATGGAGATAAGAAAGGGGGCTTTTCCATCTTCTGGGCGGACGATGGTCTGGACACCGGGGACCTTCTGCTGCAGAAGGAGTGTGAGGTGCTCCCAGACGACACCGTGAGCACGCTGTACAACCGCTTCCTCTTCCCGGAAGGCATCAAAGGGATGGTGAGGGCCTGGAGCCGGCCGCGCCCTGCCTACCCGGACGCACACTCAAGCACCCTCCCTAGACCCAGCCCACCGCTCCTGGAGGCCAGGAATCTGTTCCCCAAATTCAGGATTCTGGAGGGAGAGAGCTCTCACTTCAAGGTTTTAGGGGCAGAATTAGGACAAACAGTGTATTGTATTAGGAGGGACTCTTGCTCACAACGGACAGACCCCAACTCAAAAAGCGTTTGGCAAAAAGGGGGCATTTTGGGGCCCTTTTAATAGACAAGGCTAAAGGCAGGGACTGGGTCACGTCCTGCTGAATCCAGGAACTTCAGCTATGACGTCATTAAGTTTCTATTTCTCTCTCCTTCACTCGTTGATTCTGCTTTTCTCTGTGTGATTAGCTTCATTCTCAGTTAGGCTGCCCTGAATTAGAGGAAACATAGCCACTGTAGCTCAAGGACTCTAATTATTGATTCCAAGAAAAGAGAAACACTTCACTTTTTCTCCTAGAATTCATCAATCACAAATCAGGGGAGATTCTGATTGGCCGGTTTTGGGGGTCATGTGATCCTCAAGAGCCAATCACCAGCTGGGGTAATGGAGTGCTCTGATAGGCTGCCTCAGTCACATGCTTCCTGCTCAGAAGAGCTGGGAAGGCTTTGACCTGTGGTCGCATGGCCTGAGCCACAGTGCGGCTCAGTCACATGGGCAGCTGGCACTGCTGAGAGGCAGGGTAGCAGGCCATGGGCCTGAGCCCACAGATGAAGATCATATGTGAAGGCTGCTGGCCCCTGCCCGAGGGTGGGCTGACAGGGACAGCCAGAGGCAGAGGTGCTGTCCAGGCATGGGGCAGGAGGGACGGAGGCCCTGGGGAGCCCTTGCTGTTTGGGCACAGCAGGAAGTACAGCAGCAGCGTCCACCGTCCCCTCATCCTCAGCTCCTGGCCATTGCCTTTTATTTTTCGGTTGTGTTAAACTTGTCTTCCCCACAGACTGACCAGCTCACAAAAATAGTTAACAAAGTAGACTTGCTGGAGATTTAGTGGTACAGAGAAGGGGCTTGCCTGTGCTTCCCACGGCAAGCAACTCAAATACTCCTTGGAGCTGCACTGTCCACCAAGGCAGCCACTGGTAGCATGCAGCTATTAAATTCATAAAATGAATTATACTGAAAAATTCAGTTCCTCAGTCTCAGTCACATTCCAAGTCCCCTGGCCACCATGTCGGACCATGCAGACTTGGAATTCGTCCATCACCACAGAGGGCTCCATCGGGCAGCCCTGCCTCAGATGCTCTGACACTCGGTCACTTCCCATTCTTGGCACCTCCCCGTCTCTTCCTGCAGGCTCTTGCTCACGCGGGCCCAGGCTCCTTGGCTCTCCTTCTCTCTCTCCCCTGATTCCTTTCCCACCACCTTCCTCTTTCCTGTCACGGAGAAACTATTTCCTGCTTCATCTCACACCTCCAAACTTGCACCTTCAAGCCCACCATGGGGCTCAGGACCCACTGTCCTTACAAGGCAGAGAAGGCTTAGACAGCAACACGGACATTTGTATCTGTGTTATACCTGCAGGGCTTTACGGTTTATATAATCTAAGATCTCAGAAGATGTAAGATCTATGTAATCTAAACCTTTGCCAGGTAGAGAGGACGAGTCTGCGTCTGTTGTGCAATAGAAGTTAGGTTCACACTGACTCCCTTGTTCATATGGCAGGTGTTTCTTGGGTGCCTGCTGTGTGCCAGGCAAGTCTGGTCAGTCTGGGAAGGGTCCAGGCTCAATGTACGCCCTGGGGCTGGGAAGGAGGCAAGGTCCTACTGCTGGGGATAGCAGCCCACCGGTCTCCCCAGGTGCAGGCCGTGAGGCTGATCGCTGAAGGCAAAGCCCCCAGACTCCCTCAGCCTGAGGAAGGAGCCACCTATGAGGGGATTCAGAAGAAGGAGACGGCCAAGGTGAGTGCTGGGTCCGTCCACACCCTCATCCTGCCTGTGAGCAGACTGGGGTTGTAGAGGGCAGCCTGAGGAGGCTGGAGTTCAGCCTAGATGATGCAGGTTGTAATTCTTTGAGACCAGAAGACAGGGCAGCCCAGGTCAGGGATGCATGAAGAGAGCCGTGGAGGAGG